AGACTACCATTCCTAGCGGACTTCTGTCACATAGGCTGTCACACAGGCTGTAGCCGTCTAAATGCCATCTTGTTTGCGAGTAGAAGATAACCTTTCGTCACTTCTCTTGGCTGAAAAAGCCGACTTGGAGAAACTCGACAAGGTCATGCATATTTGAGTCAAATTGCTTGCGCATCTTGGGTGCTTCTTAAAGTTGAGTTTTCCATCATTCCTATGATTAATTTGAAAAAAATTTATGCCGTTCCTTGCGTAGGCGCCGTGTTTAACATCTACGTGTATCCATTTGAAATTCTTGTATTTATTCTCGATTATAGGAGAAACTGAGAGAAGAACAGCGAGAGGAAAATGCGAAGAAACGCTTCCCGCACTTCTATAATCTCAATGAGGACCCTTTGCTGGTTGCCAAAATTATTCACATTATCAAAGCAGGTAGGCTGGTTGCTTTTGATAAATCGAAGAAATAAAAATCTATTGAAAAATTAAATTACTGAATAAATATATATATAGATGAGTGGAAAATTAGAAATGTATTAAGTGCGTTGATGTATAGCAAAAAAAAAAAAAAAAAAACTTTACATGATAAAATCGTGGACCCCCAACAACGTCAAAAATAAAAAGTAACAATAAATAGAATAAGATAAAATAACCAAAAGGGATAAAAAGGCTGGCAGTTACAGAAAAGATGAGTCAATTAAAATGAAAGTTACGTCTCCAGAAGTGTTGTTTCATAACATTTATTTGAATTTTTATTTGTCCAGGATCCCACAGAATTGGCAACAATGGAGCCAAACCGCAACCGGAAATTCCTCTCTACGGCAGGAGGTAAGAAAATGTAATATTTCTTAAAACTATATATTTGAATTTCATTCAAAGTATGGGTTTCAAACAGCAGAAACACCAATTGGTAACCATTAACGAGGAATTTATTTTTGCATCACCGTAGTGGGGTTCCTCCTGAAAGTAAGGGGTTCCGTTAATAGAGAATATTGTGTAAAATCAAATAACAATTAATACATTTTTTATTTTTCTATGATCTTTTAGCATTGCCAGAGAACATGGCGTCGTGTGTAATACCAGGAACGGTGTGACAATTAAGTCTTTGAAAGGAAAAATTCGAGTTAACGGGGTGGAGATGAACGCCGGACAGGAAATACAACTTCACCATCAAGACAGGTATTTCAAAGTATTTCAAATGTGCAGAATATGATGAATTCAACGTGGAGCAAAATTCAGAGGCAAATCTGCACATCAACCATCTTTGTACACGAAGTAATGATTGTTTGTTTTTTTTTAATCAAAAGAGGTAGATATTTCAAATGTACAGATATAAAAAGTCGGAGTACACCAAAGATAAGACAAACATTTGCATATCAATGACTAGATGTGCAAATAAATTCAAAATGATCGACTAAATGTCGAAGGCAGTTTTGAAAATGCGTTTGCAAACATGATATTGAAATAATGGGACGTGTGAATTTGGCCAGGCATAAAATTTTAATGCTTTTTTTCCCAGGATTCTATTCGGTGAATACACAATGGGGGCTACGATGGTGCCCAACTTGTTTGTGTTTCACCACCCAAAAGAGGAAGAGGAGTTGATCAACCAGGGAAAGAAACACACGGAGATTTCGTACGATTTTGCCGTTGAGGAAATAGAGAACAACATTGATAGCGGCGAAGGAGGTAAAGGTCAAATTTTAAGTTATTTCATTTGTTTTGTTATCGGGATATGAAGTCATTACATGAATGTATTCAAAAAGAAGATGTATTAGTGACTGAAAATGTCTTTGAATTATTAACAAGTTTTGTCAAGGATTCCATGTTTAAGATGTTTCGATGATATCTCTAACTGAGAAACTGGAAGTGTGTGTGTGGGGGGTAAGTGGGCAGATTAAAGTGTTTAGTACATGTAGGTAAAAAGAACCATTTTCCATTTCACTAGGCGACGAAGACAACCTTGCTCTCCTAAAAGATGAGATCATTCACTTACTTCCCCTGGTGGAGGACGCTAACGCCATGGCGGCAGAGTTCAACAAATCTGTCGGTTTTGAGGTGACCCTCATCCCTGCTATGTTCAGGGGAAAGGAATCAGGCCCCACCGAGGTATGTGCATGAAAATTAAACCCCGTTCCCATACCTAGATCGATCTAGCAGGATCGACCCAACTCCGAGGGGTTTCTCGCTAAATTGCATTCAGCCTAAGTGAAGTGGCTTAGGTGTCTGGCACGTCTAATGAAGCTGCTTAAGGATGGTTAATTATCCCCTAACAGCTTCGCTAGGTGTGCCAGACATCAGAGCCACTAAAGCTGAATGCAATTTAGCGAGAACCAAATGGGTCAATCCTGCTCGATCGCTTTAGGTATGGGAACGGGGTCTTACATAGTTTAGCACTAATGACTGGTTTACACGGTGAGTACTGTGTAACGTGACAGAGAGTCCCAACATTATTTTGTTCAGGTAAGCCTCGTCCTAGATTTTAGGTCAGGCTAACCCTAACCATTGTTACTAAATGGAGGGCGGCCTTTCTGTACACGGACCCTAGCATCGTTGCACCCATCCCACTGAGGTACTGGTATATGGTCTCGCTCTTATGGTTTGAATTTATAAGTTGGAGCTATCTCAGTTTTCTACGCCTTCTTTTTCTATACTACAGTTATGTGATAAGCTGAAAGAAACGAACACATGTGTCAAAGAGAGACTGGAAAATAAACGATGATGTGATTAAGTATAGATAAGTGTCTCTCGGGGATTTAGACTAGGGCACCGTACCGCATTGCATTTCCTTGGTTTTGTTTTTCAACATCAAATATGTCACTCTTTATTTATCAGGTCTATGTGAAAATGCATAATATGGAGAACGACAACGAGTTTTACTGGGGGAAGAACAAGTTCCTGGACAGGCAATGCAGTATGCAGAGAATCTACGAAGAGTTTGAGGGCACCTATAACGTGGAACAGGTGAGCTTGTCCCCGTACGGAAATTTCCTATAGGTCCCTATACAGTATAGGACCTACACATGTTCTACAAAGGATTCCTACAGGATATCCGATAGCTAGAATTCCTATTGGGTCCCAGAGAGTCCTTTAGGATTACTATAGAGGTCAATAGAGCCCTACGGGAAGTTCTATAGGATTTTTTCGTAAACGTCAGACCGTCAGCAGATAATTAGATACACGCATTTTTATACAAAAGAAGCGACTTTAGTTATTTTGTCACAGCTCCTGCCTCAAGTTTGTACTTTTAGAGCGAAAAGAAAAGAAAAAAATGCCCAGTGCTGTTTTCCTTGATACTCGACATATGCTGAGTACCATCCCAACCATTGCTTATCACTATATTATAATTCCATGACCATTTTATTTTAAAAAGGACGACGACCCCTTTTACGAACCTCCAGACACGGAGAACCTGATAGGTTTGGTGTCCGTGCCTTTGGTGGCTCTGGCCCATGGCCGGACCTATGACGAGAAGCTGACCATCCGAAACTACGAAGCAAACACGGTGGGGTATCTCGCCGTCGAGTTAACGACCGAAGCTGGGGAGGTGAAGGAAGAGGAAAAGGGGCAGGTTAAAGAGGGAAATATTGACCCCAAAGAAATGGTGAGATCCTGTGTTTTTGTTCTTTTGCGGTACATGTTGGTTCAGACACAAACTTGGGTCCTTTTCACAGCGAGTGGTACACTTAGGTGGATCGGTCCAGTTTGACAGGTCCTAGTATGTTGTTATAATACAGGGGTTTTACTCCCTTTCACATATGTTCTCCACATGCCTGTAAATTTATTGTTGTAAATTTATTTCAGATTGGGAAGGATATCGCAATTCGTATCAACATAAAGAAAGCTCAAAACCTGCCTGTCAAATACAACAAGGTATGTAAAGATTGCCTGGTAGGAGCGTGGTTAATACTTGTAAATGAAATATATATACCAATTTTATACCATAAAACTCATACAATTTCATTCAAAGGGGTTTGTCATCCTCGACCCCCCCCCCCCCTTCCGTCTTGCTGATAATTTCACCATCAGAAAGTAATGCTTCAATTTGGAGTAAAATAGCATTGAAACGTGATCCCAAAGGCCATGTGCTTGCATCTGGATAATGAATGAACATGTGAAGTATGTGCAGCTGAGTATTAAGAGTATATTGGATATGGTATCTTTCAATTAGGTTTGGTGCAAGTACAAATTTTTCAAAATGAAGAGACCTTCGACCACAAACCCAACTGAATGCGTTGCCGGATTGTTTGACTTAAAATACAAGAAACGGCATAAATACGAAGCGCAGCAAGTCACACACGAGGTAGGTATTTAGTTTCGGAATTTTTCAAATACGAGGAATGGCGGTATTTGCATGTATAATTTTTAAAATGCATGAGAAATGGATAATGGATGAGAAAGGACAAAATATCACTGGTCAACGTAAGAACATACGGGGTATCTATAATGGATTTATGATAATTTTGATCATTCATATTATATTACATATTCACGTTTTAACGTATATAGTCAAAGAAATTCATAAGCATTGCGTATGTATGATTTCTTGTATGATTTTTTATGAAAGAGCATGGTCTTGATTTCAGTTCCTGAGTTATCTCCAAGATAAAACCTTGATGATTGAAGTGTGGGGCAGCCAATCAGAAACGGTTATGCGACAGGCACGCCCCCGCACTGCTCCCGGCACATTGAACATGGGCGCTACTGGGACTCTTAGACGGGCCTCGTTCTCAATCGATGGGACTCAAACAGACGGTTTTGCTGGACGCAACACTTTGAAGGAAAGGGCAGCAAACCTAGGTGGCGCCACCGGAGAAGCATGCAGACTGCAGTAGCAATAGAGAAACGATAAAAATCAACAAATACACAATAAGGGTACGTGTTTGTGTTGGTGGCGGAATTGACAAAGTCGACTTTGTATGAAGTCATGGATAAAGCAGTAATATATCCTTTATTATGAGTATTATTATCATCATCAAAAGAACTGGTTGGCGCCAAACATACGTATATACAATATGATGCACCACATAACAGTTTTATTGCTATTATTATTTTTATTATTATTATTATTATTATTAAAAACTTTTGCTTGCATTCTTCTGTGATATTTTGTAATATTTATTTCTTGATGAAGTATTTCCAATATGTTTCAATATTGAGGTTTATCTTTAAACGTGTACTAAACATACGAGCTCAGTGCTTAATGTTTAAAAGATTTGTTTAAGATATGTATTATATCATGTCTGATAATAAACAAATAAAAAACGAGCCCAATTGTTGACATTTAAATTACTAGATACACTATTTGTTTCGTTTAATGCAATAAGTGTTCTGGTTATTAAGAAAGCATTGCAGTATTATAAATAAAACCGAGCCAGAATTTCGGTATATATTGTCAGAAATTACCCTACTAGTTTCGGCTCAGTCGGGTCAAATCAAACATTCAAATCAAACATTGCTGATCAAAGAAAAGGGAAAATCGTAATATGCAGGTCTTTCGGAGATTCCAAGTCGGAAAAGAATAAAATGTTCTCCTCTTTCGTCATCTATAAGAGAAAAAATATAATTCCTGAGGTCTGCACCTTCGCAAGTGAGAGCCACAGTATTCTTCCGAGCATTTCAAACGATACTGAAGGCATGAGCACGTTCCAAAAACAAAACTAAATCATCGGCATAAAAAAGGCTGGTAACAAGTTTTCCCATTAATAAATGGTAATTCATTGTTCTTCTGGCTTTGAGTAGAATACCGAAAAACATTGGCGATTATACGAGAGTACGTTGGAAACAAGAGGAGACGTATTTAAAATTTGTTAAACTAATTGCATTCAGCGAGTGTCCTTGCGATGGTGGTCAGATCTACGTAGAACGAGATTTTCATTGGGAATGAGCCCTAAAAGCACTCGTGAGCAATCCAGAAATATGCATCCTATAGATATACATATAGCGATTTTGGAAACATTAACTCATTCCGTATATAACAATACAAACTCCTAGTTTGGACAGGTGGAAATGTAATTTTATTCTGCTGACATCTACCTGTGTTCTGTCACATGCTAAGTAGTGGACATATCTAATATGGATCCAATGCAGATTTTCATATATATGCACCTTGAAAACTGCTATTAATTTTTTGGGGTAATTTTAAATAGTTTATAACACTCTGGTGGCAGAAGAACATCGAAATTCGAGATTTTGCGATAAGATCTGCAAGACGGTCCTATAAGATACTAGTACGGGCTACGGGTAATGCTTTGAAAAGAAACGAACGTTTCTTTCGGGAAGTTAAACGTTCGAGTAACAGTCCCAATATAAGTCTTTTAAGGACTATTTTCATGGTCTACGTAAAAATGAAATTCCACCCACTGTGCCTAGAGAAGAACGGGGATGTTGATACGTAGTTCTAGACACCAAGGGCACGTTGTTGTAACAGCATTCGAAGGCCACGCTGTTCAGTGCAGTGTCGTCGCCTCTTCCCACACTTGCCTCAAACTTGACCCTAAGACCACAGATGAAGTGGCCCCTATCACACTGTCTCCACATCCCCCACGACCCCCAAGACCCCCCATTACTGGAGCTGATGACTTTACCGTTACTACATTTCAACTCGAGATCATTCGCGGCCGTGTCATCACCGCGGCCCTGGTTTCCTTCCACCTTCAGGCGGAACCCAACAACGTGACTGCAAAGAAAGGGAATAAGCTAGAATTAACACTGGCAATGGTTATCAGAGTGAAGGACCTGGTATGGTATTGCAGTAAGTATGTGTGTCAGAAATCCCAGATCTTATCATATACTTTAAGTCCTTCACTTGCTTATTTTTGCTGTACCGCTCGCCTCTCAGCAAGCCAGTATGCTTGTCCAGGTATGTATGTATGTATGTAAATATGTATGTATGAATGTATGTACGTATGTATGCCTGTAGGTAGGTACGTAGGTAGGTAGGTTCATGTAGGTAGGTAGGTACTGTAGGTGAGTATGACTACCGTTAACACAAATCAGCCGACTACACTTACCTTCCGATGGGACAATACTTTGCCATCCCCCACGATCCCCAGATTCCAGAGTGTGGAATTATGGTTGCATGATGCTCGCAGAGAAGAGCAATCGCATTAAGAGCTGTATCATCGCCTAGAATATGAAACTAAAATTTTGTACATTGTCATAGGGAATTTTCATACTAGAACATGTGTATTAAACTAGGCATTCCACTGGAAGTCACACTACAGAATGAAGTTTTGGAAAGTTACGTCCAATTGTATGGTATACAACTCAACGGCCTTATGGGTCTTTATTTTCTTAACGGTTTTGGTTGGGAACACGTTGGTATTTGTTGGAAAATTGTAAGAGTATCCAGGAAATTCTGTTTGCTATATCTAAAGGTCTAACGCACTTGGTTTGTCTTTAACTTTAAAAACCGAATTATTCTCTTTCTATGGTCATAAAAAATTAAAAGAAATCGGCATATTCCTTCGATTATATTATACACAATTAAATCTATATAAATAAATTATTCATACATTTATCCCTCACCTCGCCCTACGGAGGCCTCCACCCTCAATTGAAATCCTTTCACTTTCAGCCCAGGGCATCTTTGTGATTTGGTCCAACTTCCCCAAGGGCCTCCGTTGACGGCGTACATCTCATAGGCCGTGCATGTCAATACCATGGTAAGCAGGACAAAGGCTCTTGTAACGTTTGTCATTGTAAATGAAGCTGGAACGACANTCTTCTTCGGGAACTTCATCTGCGTTCAAAGAACGAAATTCAATTGGTATTTAATTGAGACCAATTCACCCACAAAAATTTCGAAGTGGACTGTCTAGAAGGGCGTTACATTTTCGCTGAAACCACTTTTTGTGCACATAGATGGACACTCATCGCTGATTACCTGAGCAATAAACAAGGAAACCTTTTTAAACGGGTCCCCCATGTCACATAGAACGCTATCCACACAGATGGTGCAATGTATTTATTTTACCCCCTGTACACGTTTTCTCAACAAATGTAAATGTGGCATTCATCTTAAATATTTATCTTGAAATTGGTGCTTGTGGTTTGTTTGATCTTTCAATTTAAATTCAATTATACGTGTACTTGTAGATGTTTTTTATCCGAATTCCATTTTGGGTATTAGGGGAGAAAGTATAGAAAACACGATGAAAGCAGTGTTAATGTTATATCTCAAATTGTGAACATAAAGGGCTTCTTTAAAAGAATCGACATGAAAGCCTTTTCGCCTACGACAGGAATTTATACGAAAATGGGGGGGGGGGGGGGATGGGAATAAATCAGCAATGAGACAGAACCCCGTTCCAATTAATCACTATACCGATAGATCCCCACAGCGACAAGGTGCTAAACTGCAGAGGTATTTATAAACATCGGTATAAATATATAACACTTTTTCTCATCGCTAAACGGATAACAGGTTTATCTTACAATAACTCATGTTTTAAAATTAGTTGTTTGTTGTTCGCCTGTAGTCGAATTTTTTTGCGAAAAACAAAACAGGGATATACAAATAAAGTTGTTGAAATGTGTGCAAGGATATCAACTGAGGTTAACACCAATTCTGTCATTATGTATTTATTTATTTCCTTGTGAAATAGGTCTCTGCAGTCAAAGTACGCTTAGAATTTGTGATTTATACAGCCAACATTGATTTTTCATTCCTTATTTCATTATTATTATTATTATTATTATTATTATTATTCAAGCTTAGCTGGCTCGTCTTCCAAAAATCAGCGTGCGGGGAACATACATTATGTGTTATTTTACAGAATTACATTACTTTGCAACCGTGGTTTGTATCGTAATTAAGCATACATTTATACGCAATGAATAAATGTAATGTTTTCCGTGTCGTCATATGGTTGTAAATATTTAGGGGTTTTTCATGTAAACCCGGTGTCCATATAATAGTACACCAGACATACAGACATTCATAATACAATAATGAGGTAATGATAATTAAAGGGATAATAACTCTTCGTATGAGATCTATATTTTACAATAAAAACATTGTGAATATCTCATAGAAATATAATATATTCTGTTTTACCACAAAAACAGCAGTTATAGCTATTATTCTGATATCTGAGCTTGTCTTTAGACCACGTGACCTCCATTGATGGCTATGCTCTGTTAAAATCTCTTAAGGTAACTCTGTATGATCGATACAGATTTTCGACAACGTTTGTCGACTATGATTCCATACGACAACTGTAGCACGTTCATAGACTTGCCCTTCAAGAAATCGTCGGAATAGCTCCTTTGGCACGAGCAAATGTATGGCAGCTAAAGCTCACAAATTATGCACGTAGATGCTGTATCATGTAAAGAATAAGTTTTGTAAATTCCAATCAAAGCGGCTGATTACATTTTGATGNTGTAACGACCGATCTACCTTAAGAGATTTTAACAAAAAACCAAACTTTTTAGAAAAAACCAGGGACTTATTTTGAATGTAAAAATGGATTCATTACCCATTGGTTAGTATGGGAAAATTGTTGTTTACTCCAGGAAAATTCATTTTTTGGCCGAAATGAAGAGTTATTATCCCTTTAACACCAAGTTTAAAAATAAAATTCTTGTACGACAGTGAAAATAACTGATGATAAATTCTTGTTTATTTTAAATGTTCATGCAACATGGCTTCTTGTTTCTATCTAGATAAGGTAAGGAACTACCAATACAACGATCGCAAAAAAAACAAACAAATAAATAAATAAATAATAAAAATAATAATAATAATAATAATAATAATAATAATTATTAAAAAATGAATATGTCAACCTCACTTAAATGCATGACATTTTGTTGTTGTATATAACTATTTGAAAGAGATAATTACTGTTACACTCGTGGGGATGCTTTTTGTGAGAAAATGTAATTAATTTTCAACTACTCCTAAATAACATATATTATCATAATCTGTCAATTTCCAGAGTAAGAATAAGTTTAGTGCGCCTGTCTTTTTGACTTTTAGGCGGAAACACACATATTAAACGCAGTAGTTGTGCCAAGAATGCTAAATAAATAGATTTGACGCAATGCTTTTGGCATATTATTTGGCCGTTACTCAGAAGTCTGTAATTTAATTTGGATCACGCAAATCTTTTGATGCTGAAGGCTTGATTTTCGCACTGGGGATTAATTGACCAATCTATGATGTATAAAACGCGTTCCCAATGGTTTTTATGTAGCCCAAGCAATGTTCCGATTGGTGAAAATGTTTACAAGTTTTGAAATTTACAATAAATAAATAAATAAATAAATAAATAAATAAATAAACTCAGTGTTTTGAGGTGTCTGCTTTCGATTGAAGATTGTAGTGTTTAATCGCTTGGAGGTGTTGCAAGGAAGATGATGGTATTATTTGCCTGGGGCCGGGTGGTGACTTTCTGCAAGGCTCTCTCTCTCTCTCTCTATCTCTCTCAAAATTTCGTGTATTGGTGAGCAGTTTTAATTTCTAGATTATTTATGTTCTATACTAGGCGACTATTCATGTACTTCGCAGGCCCAGAGTACTACAGAGCAAATGACATCAAATGCACTAGTAGTGCCAAGAATGCCGGATAAATAGGTTTGACGCAATGGCCCCATTCAGAATATGGGACTAACTAGTCCGAGGGTCAAATATGGGCGACCCACTTGAATACTTCCCCACGGGATATCCGTTCAGTTTCTATTAGCGGATTAGACGGCAAGCTTTGTAGTGTCTATTCTGAATGGGGCCAATGATGGTGACTCCAGCCATTATGTTAATGGGGCTGTGATTGTTTCACTGGAGCTGGTTGGTGATAAATTCCAAAGAACTACCTCCTGTAAGGCACGTAGTGGAGAAAGGGCCTTCTCAACTTCATCATGCTTGGTGATTGCTGTTTGGTGAATACGTGTGCGCAGAATATATCTTCTTTACATTTCTGTGTCTTTGGCGACTTTCTTTTCAAACCTTGAACACATGATTTAACATGGCCATAATGGCGTAGGGACAGCTCACTTGGTTGCCGTGGGTGGTATTTTAGAAGTACACCTTAAACTTGGTCCAGGCCAAGAATCGAGAGTCTGCTGTTTACTGACCCTCTGTAAACTCGAGGGTTTTATGGGTTCTTGCCACTGCCCTTCAAAAAATCTAGGTGTTGACAATGTTCTCTTTTGATGACACATTTGTAAGGGTATACGATTCTTTAAAAATTAAGTTTCACGGGGCCGACCACCACAGCGATAGGACCCACAAACAGGTAAATCCAAACTGTTTGTGTGTTCGAACGCCGTGGTCGTGGCTATTTATTTTACATTGGGATGTTTAATTCGTGGCTTGGGTCGTTGGTGCTCTGAAATCTAAGGATCGTGTCACCAAGCAGCATTTATCGTTTATAGGCTAATAGTTGGGGGGAAAAACATCGAAAGCAGCACTAAGATAATTTCAATGATATATTTTAGCCACTTAATCACCTTAAAATACATTTTAAATGCATTCAGACCTGGCATTTTTCACGTAGTTTATAAAAATACCAACCGTATGTTAAACCAGACTATTTCGCATTCCTCAGCCGCCGTAGAACTAAAGTAGCTCATGCGTGCGACATCACCGCAGTGGGATATGCCCTCAACAGAAATTTTAAATGTTTTATAGGGCTTTTAAACCAAATTGCTCTGCAGTAAATGCGAGGTGAAATGGATGTTCCTAGGGGATTTGTTGCGCTATTCATATTTTTGGTGAATTTGCGTCAGCTAAATTGCATTTTTAGAGAAGGAAAGAATTGTTCAGCACAGGCGATTATAACTTGTGATCAAGTAATCGTGATCAAAATATCCAGAGAAAAATTGTGCGCAGGCTATAGCAAACCAACTACATCAGCAACCGCAACAGCAGCAGCAACGTCAACAGCAGCGCCCACGACAATTGCTGAGCAAGCGACGTCAGTCAAAGGAGCAGTGAAGGATAGTAATTTGGACACAAAATGGCGTGTGGATGCTGCGACCCGCCACAGCCTTGTTGCGGCTGCTGGGGATACAGGACGGGGAGTGTTTTGGCTTCCATTTGGACCGGGGTGAGTAAAGATGACAAAAGAATGAAAACACCCCATGATAGGTACCCAATAGGTAACATACGACTGGAATACATAGGGAACAGGAGGGGAGGGGTGGAGCATGGCAATAATGCACCACAACTCTGTTCCATATACACCCTACACTGATCGATCCTCGCGGCCACAGGTAACATAAAACTGTAGGGGTCCTTGTAAGAGTCGATTTAAATGAAACATTATGTTTTTTTTATTTTTTCTTAACGGACAGTACGTTTTCACCCATATGATACGCTTGTCTGAGGTCGAATTTATCTGCGAAAAGGGGACTCAGGGACACAAAAAGTCGATTGATTAAATAATTAATTTTCCATTTGTGAAAACGGTAACAGATCCGCATGGAGTTAGCATGCAAAAAAAAAAAAAAAAAA